CATGACGATGTCACCATGCCGATGCCGATCTGATCCTACAGGAGAAGGAAATCGAGCACCAGACCGCCCAGCCCTCCCACGGTCACTCCGGGATCGGAGTGATTCGGGGCCCTGACTGCTCAGTGCTTGTCCCTTCCTGATGAGCTCCCTGGCCACTTGGGAGTTTGCTCGACTAGTCGGTTCATATTGCGAGGCGTCCTCATCGCCTGCTGGCTCACCAGGTGTGGGACGCACCTCGGTATGGGGTAGTCCAGGGTCGCCATCCATGGCGTACAACTCTGTACAAAGAGCCGCTTACGGCTGATAACCTATAGAACAGGTTAAACAACCGGGAAGGGTCACAATTGAACCCTGTACTCAGCGCGCTTTTTCCTTGAGCCACGTGCAGTCGTAATGATGAGACTGCACAAGTGAGACATGCATGCATTGGGGTTTACATGGTTGATAAATACATCACGTTGCAAACTACACAAAGCAAGAGCAGGGCGTTGGATGCCCCTGCATCAATTCACTCACTTGCCCAAAGAACCTAAAAATAAAAGGCTAGCTCGCTCGCACACTCGCAAAACCAGCCACCCACCCACCCGCCCGCCCGCCCGCCTGCCCGCCCGCACGCACACAGGCACCCACGCACGCACGCACACACACACACACTTCCTGTGGCTGTCAAGTATGCAAAGTAGTCAGTCCTTGGAATGCATGCCCTATAAGCCGTTGCGTGATTCTTTCAAGCTTTTTTCATGTGCAATCATCCAAGGGGCCAAGCATGCGCTAGTCACATAACTGCACCCACCGGAGCCCATGAATCCTTGCCATCCCTGCCACTGCCGCTATGCAATCGGAGAATTGTGCTTTGGTGTGACTCCTGCTCCTACGTGTTTCTTGAACAACTAGTCATTCTTGCTATTGCCCGTGCTTCCGCAACAACATCACATGCGCATACACACGTGCACACAGCACAAACACGGATGAAAACTACAATCAGGTCGCGGCAGCTACCATCTCCCAGCCAGTCCTCAAGCTGCTCATGGCAGAGCGGGCAGATGAGGCCGCTTACGGTCCTGAGCGATCGGGAGATCTAAGCTGAACGGAATTGTTTAACCTGTTTTGCGGTTCTGCAGGGCTCAGATTGAATTGGCTCAGGTATTCTGCCTCTTGGTCACTACTCCCCTATGCTCCCCTCTTTGGGACAAGCCTCGGATATGGTCGCCTTCAAGAAGCCCAACATCTCTTGGCCAAGCTCGGGGGCAAAGAAAGCCCAAAGATTCAAGCTCTATTCTGCTCCAACATCCTCCGTCTCAAAATAGGCAACCCCCAAACTCTGACACAAATTCAGTAGTTTCCCAACAGCACTCAGTGAAAGTCGTGGCACGGCATCGGCGGAGGCAGACTCGATGGTGCCTGGGCCACGACCTGAATGTGTCAGGAACTCCGGACACCCAAAGCCACGTCAACATCATTGCTCCCCATACTGGAAATGATCCAAAAAAGGGATGGAGTTAGACAGTGCAAAGCACAGCTCGCAATGTGTTTTGCTCACAGCCTACCGGTGTGGAAAACAACAGCTGTGCAACATCTTGTCCAAATCAAACGACGGCAGTCCCCCACCTGAGCCCCCTCCCTCGCCTGCGCTTCCATGTCGCGCCGCGGCCTGAAGGCTTCAAAACCTCTCACCTCTGCATCTGTAGCGCCGACTGCTGCCAATCCATGCTGACAAACGTGCTCCCCCCCTGATGTTCAGTCCAAGCTGCGGGGAGTCTACAACCACCGGTGCTGGCAGGACAGCCTGTATCTGCTGCTCCTGCGGGGTTATAAGCACCCTCCCGCAGTGCGTAGGTGTCAGAATCTGCGAAGCCCGTCCAAAACGCACCACGAGACCAGTAACCAATTCACAAACTTGATTGAAGCCTGGAAAAGGATATGCAAAAGTCTGACAGGACAACGAGCCAAAGCAGCAAGGGGGGTCAAAAACACATCCTGATCCATGGTCAAGTGGCTCGTCGTTAGCATTCCAAGGCTTCAACGTTTGCTGCAGCAGGCACGGCAAAGCATTATACACACAAACAATGCTGCACCAAACGTCCCAAGCCCCTTGGCCCCCGCTCCTGCCCGTTACTCGCAAAGGCCGGAGGCATGTGCCATCTCCACCGCTAAGCGCCCGCAGGCGCAGCGCGAGAAGCGCTGCGGGCCAAGAGCATGGCGCCATGGAGGGGCAAATTGGGTCAGGGTACTTGAAAGCCCCTGGCAACCAAAAGTAGCCCTTGCTCGGTTTGGCATGCGTTTCTTTGATGGGACATTTGCATGGGAAGGACAGGGACGCGTGAGCTTCAAAAGTGTTGGCGGCTGAGATTGGCAGTATCTACATATATAGATATATACATATATCGTCTACGCTTGAGATGCAAAAGCATGTTTGAAGTACATGGATCATGCATTCAACAGCGACCTTGATTCCAACACCTCAATATGGCACAGCCCTCGGTCTTCAACAGGCTTCAGTGGGCCTTAGGAACAGCAATCCAAGGAAGTGTGGCCTTGCGAACCCAAAATGGAACCCTGGCAAATAGAAACCTGCGGTCCCCTGGTGGTTTCATTTTGACCCATACCCAAATGGTCTGCTTCAGGGGATTCCTGTGACTAGCACGGTCAGAATTTCAGCTGGCGCCCACCTTCAGCTCCTCCCATGCAGCTTGGCACAGCCACAAACTCACGAAGCATCATAGGGCTACCTTCCATTTCCATTTCCATTCCAGGGACCCTTCTTTCTGAGAAAACCTCCCGATGCCCAGGGAAACGGATCCGGTTGTTGGACAGAATGGTGGAAAAGAATGGACAAGGAATCAACCTCCAGAATCATTGCCACCAGTTCGAAGTGACAGGCCATGGCCAAGTGCACAAAGCTTCTGGGCGCCAGGACTTGCGTGAGCACCTGGGCCGAGACCCGTCAAAACTGCGGGGGTGTGGCCACTTAACCCCCAGAAACAGATTCCTCCGGTGGCAAACTATCCATCGGAAACAGCAGCCCTGAGAGAACGGTGGCCGATCTTTGGGAAGGAAGCCCATGACAAAGCATGAATGCAGCTTGCCTGTGGAGACTCGCAATGCGCAGTCTGCTGCGCTTTTGAGTTGTCTTGCTGTCATGCATATCACCTCGCTAGGGCCGCCGCCAGACTCCAACAAATTCGAGCATACATTGGGATGCTGCGAAGTCACGCTGTCACAGAGCGCGGAAGAAGCACAAGATTGGTTGCGCTTGCACACCCGAAGCATCCAAAACAACCGGCATAATTTCCCTCTGAAACAAAAAACACAATCCAGAAACGAAACGCGGAAACCCTTCGAGAACCCTCAGGAAACTCTTCAGAAAACCCCACAGGAAACCAAAAGAAAAAACCCGCGTTTTTGCAAAGGGGAACTGGGGCGTTCAGACGTCCTGCCACTTTGGTAAGCCAGGCCATAGGCGCCACTCCCTGTCGCGAAGGTAGGCCTGGCGCTCCTTGGTGCTTCGCACACACCCGAAACGCCCGCGCCACAAGCCGCCAGTGGTACTTAAGCTTGGGCTGGTTGGGACGGTGATGAGAAATGACCAGGCTGGTGATGCTATTGATTTGTGGCCTGGTTGTCCTCTCTTCCTAGGCAAGGGGTCTAGTTTGATGGACAACGCGCGTGCGATGCAATCACGATGTACCATCTACTCAGCCAACGCATGACGATTCAACCAGTCGCCCCAAATCATGATGCCACCAAAAACAAACAGCTGCATCACACAATCCACAAGCTTGAAGGTCTGAAACGATACAACTATGAAACAAGAAAAATGAGCAACGGGTCGCCCGGCCATGTACTTGCCATCCGCCACGGTGGAGTGGTTCAGGGCCGCAAAGTCTTCTCGCAGCTGCCCGCGACGGCTCTTGGTGACCTGCGAGGGTCGACTGAAGCGGCCCGGTCGGCCGCGGAGCTCCCAACTTGAGCTGGGAGGCTGGATCTATGAACGGCTTTTTGAAGGCAAGAATTGGACACCAATCACCCTGCCATCCCTACCAACCAAGCAGCCTCAGCTGATGTGCTGCATGCCCAAATGTTGCAATGGGCTTGTTGGGACAGTCATGCCGGTTGACCCGGGCCACGATATGGCTTGACTCGGCCGACTATTCGAATGCAAGAAAATGCAACCAAGGGCGTTGACACCCCAACCTGCCAACGACTCGCGGCAGCCGGCTCAAGAGCAAAGACGCGTTTTTCTCGGCCGCTCTGCCGCGAGATCTTCCAATCGACGCCTTAGCTTGGATCACCCCGGCCCACGCTACATCATCACATCACCCTCAAATTCAGCTGCCCACTGCTCAAGTAAATATCGCTGCGGGCACCAATATGGCAAGTCAACCCTTAGCACCGTGAGCTTGGCCTCAGCCCCCTGGAGTTTCATCCACTATCTCTGGGTTGGTCTCTGGCTGGTGGGACATCGTCATGTTCAAAAAGTCAAAGGTTGAAGGTCATACCGAAAAGCAGCCAAGATATGATGCCGATTGGTAAGCGTGTGTGTGGGGTAACTACATGTGTAATATATACCTACAAGGTACTCAGTCACGCCCTTAGATCTGGCGAAGCCCTCGTTTCTCACAAGTGGTTTCCCCTCATTTTCACAAGTACACTCATTTCTCACAGGTCAAATGTGCCGGCATTTCCACGTCTTTCCACGTTGCCAAACAACACTCGTCAGAAACCAGGTTGGGCTTGTGAGAAACCAGTGCGGGTTTTAGGGTTTAGGTTCAGGGTTTTTCGGGCTTAGATTTGGGGTCTTCAGGTTTTGAGTTTTTGGGTTCAGAATTTGAGGGCCATTGAGCTGAACCGGGGGAGTTGCCCTTGTCACCTGGTGGGCTTTGCAGATGCTCCCAAGCTGGTCATGCCGAATTCACTCCAAATGAGTTCTAGGCAAAGCTCACCGTGTTTGCCTGGGCTGCCCTGCTGCCAGCAGTGGATGCAAAGCTTTGGCTCCAAGCTCAGGTCGATGGCAAGATCCTGCTGCAGTTTGCCACGAAAGCCAACGCTGCCTTCTTCACTCGTCTACCTGAAAGATCGTCCGCAAGCTCCCCCCCCCCAAGGCAAAATCGCAAATCTAAACAGGCAGCAAGACATGCGAGCCAAGCACCCCAAGCATGTGCACCGTGCACCCCTACCACCCCAGGTTTTACAGATTCCGATGGGGAAAGCGGCGCCCACAGTCTCGCCAATCCCCAAGCACAACCCTCAATCACAGCCTCAGCCAGCACAAATCCATTCTGGCCGTGTGAGTGGCCACACTGCCACACTGCGGGACCCCCAGCCCTCCCAACAAAAAATACAAACAACTGTCCAACCCAACATGGGTATGGGTCAAACAAATAATATTCAAAACTAAACCACCCAAAACGGAAGAACAAAAAAAGAAGGAAAAAAAGAAAGAGAAAAAACACGGTTCGAGTTGTTGTTTCTATTTGTGGTTCCGTCCTGGGTACCTAGTTTTGACCCACACCCACATGGCTTCCCTGTCCGAAGCTCCTTGCAGCCGCTCGCGCACCGCTCTTTCGCTAGGCAAAGGCCCACCCCGCGCCCAGGCCGACCTGGGCGTGGCAGCGGCTGCGCCTCAGGAGGAGTGGCTTTGGCCGTGACTCAGTTGATCAGTGACCCTGGAAAGAAAAGGGAGCCCGTTTTGGGGAAGACCATTTTTAGTGGGGCCGCCACCCCCCCAAAAAAGGGGGGGGGGGGGGGGGAAGGGTGCCACTGAACAACTGAGGTGAGCATTGGAATGAGCCAATGCTAAAGCATAGAACTAAATGCAGTTTGTGAGGAACTGAAGCTTGCCGGGAAGTTCCTCTTGTGACAAGAACGGCACGAGACAAGAAGCTGCTCATGACGACGGCAGCCAAGGGCTTCACTTTCAAGGGCTAACGGGCTGACGGTGACATTGGCAGCAACAGGTGCGCCCAGGGTTGAACGAACAAATCATAGACATCTAAGGGTACCTTCCCCATTCTTTCCACGGATCTTTCTTTCTAAAAAACCTCCGGAAACCCAGCAGAAACGCCTGGTTATTGAAAAGAACGATGGTTGAAAAGAATGGGGAATCATCCCCTAGAACGCCCCGAGCCCATGGAACTCACCTGCCTGGCAGCCGTAGGTGCGCGCGGCTTGTCGCAAGGCATCGCCCTGCAAGGCCTCCGCCCAGGAGCGGAAGGGGAGGCACTGGTCCTCCGCGGCAAAGAGGAGCTGCAGGATCATCTTCCTGGGCGCAGGGAAAACTAGATGCCATTCCCCCAACCAAAATTGAGGGCAAAGGGGACGACTGAACTGCTCAAGACTCCAAAATGGAAGCTGACATCCAGGAATGCCAGTGGCTCGCTGTCCACGTAATAAGTACTTGTGTTCGGAGGACGCACCATCATTTGTTTCGGACAAACGCCTTGTACTTCAGCTGCCCGCTCGATGCGTGCAGCTGAGGCTCTCGCCGTGCGGCTCCTCCATTAGGCTGCCGTAGTGCCTGCAAATCCACGAGACATCTGGCCAATAGACAGCATGGCTGTGACATATGGGACAGGCTCAAGCATATAGTCTGAGGCATTGCACTGCGAGCCACCTGTGGTCTGGGGGCTGACCTTTGTGGTTGAGGCTGGTCGCGCTCAAATTGAATGCGCCTTGCTTTGGATGGAATTTGCTGTGTCAGCGTGTGCATGACTCCATGACCCTCTTTGGCCCTGTGTGGGCCAATGCTTGCCCCTGTCTGGGCCAATGCTTGCCCCCGTTGCCGCTAACTTGGAAAGGCACATGGTAGAATCCAGCGGCTCCCCGTAAGCGGAGCCGGCAAAGCCGCCAAAGCGCCTGGCGAGCGCCATGGCTGAGTGCATGTGACTTCGGGCCATGCAAGAAGCTCCAAGTAGGAAAATAGGCTGCCGAGGTTGGCTCGCGCCCAGCTCTCGGGCAAGCTGACATCCGCTATGACGAACTGATCACTGCTGAATTCCTTTCAAGGTGCACGAAGCTGATCCCAGTTACAACTCATTCACCATGAGGGATCTGACCCTAATTCCGGGAACCCGCCAGATACCGTGTTGCTACGTTTATGTCACTGATCCCGACCACAAGAGCGAGCCACGTCTTCGGAGACCTCCAGAGCCTCTCCCAACGCGCCAGCGACACGCTGCTCTTGGCTGCGTGCTGCAGAAAACCAGCACGCGGCCTCGGCGCGGCTGGACGCCTCAGCTGAAACACCCGGCCCGTTAAGTTCAGCGGGCAACCCCAAAATGGCTTGCCCTGGTACATGGAAAAAACAAGTAAAACCCGCAGACCAAATCCTGGCTTGATTTTGACCCATACCCACCTGAAAGTGATGCTCTGCTCAGCAAGTTCCAAGTACACGCACAATGTCAAGGCCAAGACGCTGCAGCCCAAGTGGGGGAAGCAGGTGCGCCCCCCTGCGTCGCTCAGGTACAGCAACATGGTCACGTCACCTGGGGCTCCAACCTCTCACGCGTGGCTGGCACTCACCGCCCGAAGAAGTGCATGAGCACATCCAGCAAGAGCCCGGGAGGAGGAAGGCTACGCGCCCAAAATGCATCAAGAGTGCTTCGCGCCCCAAAAAACGAGCCTCAAGCAAAGCCTCTTCAACGCCAGCTTCTGGGAAAGGCTAAGGACCCACACTTAATGGGACGCACCCCATGAATCCGGGGTGTGATTGCTAGGCGGCAAGTACACGGGGCGAGTTTCGCACAGGGTGATTTCAACAAGTGAGGAGGCTGTCTGATCAACAAACACGTCGTTCGAGAAGAGTTGCCATGGTCAAGCCTGCGTGTCGCACTCTCTTCCCTTCATTGCCGCCGGGGCACTCGTGTCGATGTGCGGCACTTGCGATTCCTCTGGCTTGTACCGCACCACCTCAGGTCTCAACTGCATGCCTTTTCCCTGGCAGGGTAGATCTGTACTGACAGCATTTCATACAGACTTGCCGCTGTCCAGGTCACCAGGTAATTTTGCACCTAATTTAATATCGGTAGTCTGAATTGTGTCAAGCTTCCCTGGCTTAAACACGAACCCCCCACTGTTTCGGTACCCCCACTGTTTTGACTGTTTGAGAGGGGGGGGGGCCAGTAAACAAGATCCAAGATTACCTCTTGACCTCGTGCCTTCGAACCCAACCGGCCGAAAGATCCGAAAGCGCCGCCGAGAACGACGAGAAGTTGCCGCGGCGCGGTGGTGTCCCGCAGCGCCCACCTGGGCAGCTGCGCCTCCTCGCGGTGCAGGCCTCGCACCGGCGCGCCTGGGCCAGGCTGCGAGGGACCGGGGCCCCTCGTGTCGCTGGCCAAGACGTCCGCGACGTTTCGCAAATTCGAAGAAAAATAAGGAGAAAGACACGGCGATGGTCGTCCCTTTCGAATCCCGAGATCGGATGAAACAAAAAAAACAAGGCGATGGTTGTTTCTTTCGCATCCCAAGATCTGATGAAACTTGGCTCGACGGCCCTTGTTTGACAGGACTTGTGCTCGCCTTCCCCACTTTTGGCATGGATGGCATAGCGGCCTGTCTCGGCCAAGGGCATCTTATCACATCCAGGCAGCCCAAAATAAGGGACACTGAGAAATCCCGAGCCTTGTTCCGAACCAATGGTCGGTGTTGCACCTGACTTTGTCAGTGCAGAATGTGTGTTTGCGACAAATGCGTTACACGTGTTGAACGTGTGCTTCTGCTCGCTTTTCAGGCTCAGTGGCCGAGTCTCCAATTGCAATTTCCGCTCCAATTGCCAAACTGCGCTTGGAATACCAAACTGCATCAAAGGGGGGAAGCAGGGGACTCCGGCTCTACCTTCTTATTTGAAACAGGTTTGGCCTTGGAAACCCGGAGGTGGAAAGCAGCATGTTTCTTGCTCCCTTGCGCACCTGCGTCCATGCGCCCCCCCCTCTCTCTCAAAAACTCAGTTTTGGGGAGGTGCTCAGCAGGGAACGAGGCAAAAAAGACCCTTACAACCCATTTCTGGCGAATTCCTTCAAGCGAAACGTCCAAGTGCATTCCCTCATTCCCTACCTCTCGCCCCAGCTTTTGGGCCCAACCTTGCCCCCCTCCCCCCCCCCAGCCCCCCCCCAGCCCCCCCCTCCCCCCCTACCCGTCCCCCTCGGCCCCTCGCCCCCCTGAGGCGCCGCGCCGAGCACCTCCCGCGCCAGTGGCGCCAGCAGCTCCAGGGCCGCCTTGGGCGCCTGGCACCGGGCCGCGCGCTGCCGGAAGCCGCTGCGCACAAGGTCCTCCTCGGGAAACCAAAAAAAAAAAACCTGCTGTAGGGGGGAGGGGGGTGGGGGGCCCCCAATTCCATTTATCCAGTCTTCCCAATAAAAGGGAACATGGAACCAGTAATGGATTTCCAGGGGTCACCCCCCCTCCCCCAATTCCAATTTTAAGGGGTTGGGGATCCAAAAAACCGTGGTGGGCATAGGTGTCTTTTTAAGGAAAATAGATGGCCCTGGTAGATGATGAAACCACCAGGTAAACCAGCGCCATCTATTTTTCAACCAAAACAACCAAAAAGGACACCTATGGCGGTGGTTGTTTTTTGCCCGGAGAAGCGGGAAGCCGCACGGAGATCGGGGATCGGAAGCTCTGTTCGTGCTTTCCTTTTGTTTTTTTGGAGGGTGGAGAAGCCGCCCCAAAATCGGGAGGAAATTCTGCCCAAAAGACGGATTCGTGTTTCTTTTCCTTTTTGGAGGGTGGCCGGTGTTGGATTGGAGTTCCCTTTTCAGGAAAATTGGATTCCGAAATGGAGTTTAGGTGCGGGTCCGCTTGAAACAATGGGTTTGTGGTATGGCGGAAACCCGGAATGGGGTTCTAGTTGGCTTCCCGTCAAAGGGCCAAAGAATACAAAATGCCGCGCAGGCATGTCTGGATAATGGAAAGCTTCCAATCTTTAACCTCAACATCTCTTGCTCAGGGACATTGAAGGGAACTTTTAGCTTTGCCCCCGCTTATCTTCAACTTGCAGCCGCGTCTTCAAATTCCACTCCATTGAATGGCCCAAGGGCGCGCGCGAAGACGCGCCAAGCGTGGACTAGGAAATCATGACAGCGTTTCCTCGCGAAGTGCACTAGAGGGTGCATGGAGATGGCACAATTCCCTTTGCTTGGGTAAGTACAGGGCATGACTAAACCGAAATGGGGTGAGTTGTGCCACCTACTATCCCACTGTTCGTCCCGATGTAGTTTTCCCCATGGAGTACGGGCATTCAGTGGGAAAACTGTTTGGTTCGCAAGAGCTTCCTGGAGTCTTCGAACAATTTTATTGCGGTGCATCATTTTTGGGCCGGATGGTTGTTGGTCTGGACCAACAACGGCGAATTAGACCAAGAACGGAGAATTAGAGTTTGGCCTGCGACCCGGATGCCACACCAGGGAAGGAAGGCAGCAGGTGTGCAAAAATTGCCCTATCCTAACGTAGAGGAGTGACAAGAAATTACAATGCCGTTGCTTCAAGATCAGCAGGCGCCCGAAGGCGAAAAGTATCACAACATACTCTCTTCAGTGCCTCATGGTGACAAGCCGATCAGGCACATTGACGACATTCAAGGTGGCAGTCACTGTCACGAAAGAAACAGCTCGTTGAAAACATTTGTAAACCAAACGCCAAGTTGCGCCATGTCTCCAAGGTTGCTGCTGTATCACTACCGGCTTTTGCTTAGCCCTTTCCACCACTTTTGTGAGCCACTTGGCTGGCACCCCCAACGCCAACCAACAATCCTTCTAGCCAGCGAACCTTCAGATTAATGAGGACCTAATCAGGGCAGTTCCCCCTTTAAGCGGAGAAGCAAACAGGGAATGGTCCTCCGGGTTTTAGTAAACAGGTCCCGATCGCCTGCGCCAAAGGACAATCATGCGCGTGTCGCATCCGATTTCGGAACCGATTTGTCGCAGCCCACGAAATCAATTGGCCACCCATTCAAACAGTTGACTTTGGGCTTCCCCTTAGCCATCGAAAAGGATGGAAGACCGTTGCGAGTATAATGAGCCTCCCGCTGCATGTGACTTTGTAAAGGGACGCCCAAGGTGGTGGTTCTCCTTGTGTTTTCCTTTGAAACCACCAAGAAAGGGGTACCCTCCAAAAAAATGAGCCCAACTGTCCCAACTGTTGTTAAGACCAGTTGTTCGTTAGGTACCTCATTGTTCTCCGAATGAGCCACCAGGCGCCACCCCGCTGCTTTCTCCGGGCGTCCGGGTTCCAATGGGTGCACCAGGCCCGGCGCCGCGCTGCGCAGGCCCCTCTTTTCCAGTCGCCGCGGGCCAGAAGCTCCGGCCGCGTTTGCGCGATCCAAAGGAAGCAGCGCAAAGGATCTCTGTGGTACCTGGGTCGGGTTTTTGGCGGTACCCTTTGTGATTTTCTTTGGTTGTGTCTTCGTTTGTTTGTTTGAATTAATGTTTGGTTGAGTGTTTGTTTGCTGGTTCGGTTGTTTGGTTTGTTGCTTGGGCTTGGTTGGTTGGTGGTTGGTTGGTTGTTTGTTTTGTTGTTGATGTGTTTCTTTGTTCTTTTGATTGTTTGGTCGGTTGACTGTTTGTTTGTTGGTTTGTTTGGTTGGTTGGTTGGTTGGTTGTTCGTTTGTTGTTGGTTTGATTGTTTGTGCGGTTGTTTGTTTTTTGTGTGTCTTGTTCTTTGTTTGTTTGTTTGTTTGTTTGTTTGTTTGTTTTTGTTTGTTTGTTTGGTTGGTTGGTTGACTGTTTGTTTGTTGGTTTGTTTGGTTGCGTGGTCGCTTGGTTGGTTGGTTGTTCGCTTGTTGCTGATTTGTTGGTTTGCTTATTTTTCCCCTTTTCTGTTTTCTTTCCTTGTCTTTCTTTGTTCCTTTGCTTGTTTCTGTTTGGTTGGTTGGATGTCTGGTTGGTTGTTTCTTTGTTGGTCTGTTTGGTTGGTTGCTTGGTTCCTTGGTTGCTTGGTTGCTTGGTTGGTTGGTTGGTTGGTTGGTTGGTTGGTTGGTTGGTTGGTTGCTTTGTTGGTTGGTCGTTTGTTTGTGTGTGTTTGTTTGTTTTTGTTTGTGTTTTTCTTTGTTTGTTTGCTTTGCTCATTTGCTCGATGATTTAATTTGTTGGTCTCACAAATGCTCGCGCGGGCTGCCCATTTCATCCCCATATCCCCAGGCTTCCCTTTGGAAAGCGTTTAAATCTCAACAAGCCAGCGAAAGCCACGAAAAGCTAGGTCATCCTTCACCCTGGACAACCCCTACAAAAAATTACAAAGAGCCCGATCATGACGAATCTATACGCACGGCCCTGGACAAAGACGAGCTGCTGACAAAGATAGCTAGAAAGCGAAGAAAGTGTCTAAGCAGACTCCTTCCCTGAGAAGCCTCTATGATCAAAGCTGCCCCGCTACGATGGTCTCAGCAGCTCTAAGTTCGGGATTTCGCAAAACGGAGGTGTTTGACCTGTCTGAACTACATGCCACTCCCTTGTGCCCGTAGCAGACTGCGCAGCCTTGCGTTTTTTGTCTGAGAGAGGAGACCACGTTCTTCCGCGCCAATAGCGGAAGCACAAATGAGGCTAAGGTATGCAACATCGCCTCGTGGCACTCCGACTGTCAGTATCCTGCACTGAAGCTCATCGCCTGTCTGGATCTTTAGCAGATCCGCCAGTACCTGTGCGCTGGTCCGCTTGCTCTCGTGACCGCGGTTGTCAGGCTTTTGCCCCTGCAACAACAGCAGACGTTGCTTGGCTCCCTCAGCCGCGTCTCCGCATCAGCTTACTGAGCGCCGAAGGCGCCTTGCCGTCAGTTGCCAACTTCTCTTGCTTCACCGCCCGCGCCGGCTTCTCCTTCTTGACGGCCGCCCCCCTGCCGCTGCTCCTTCTTGGTCGCTATGCACGCGCCCGAACAGTGAGAGGACATTGGCCGATGACCAAGGCAACACAAAATATACTTTAGATACATTCTGGAAAGCGGGGAGAGATCGG